CAAGCTCTTTCCGAAATGGATGGGGCCTTGGCCGATCATTGAGCCCGCTGGGGACGCACCTAAATGGCCTTCCTTCACGATTCAGGTGCCTAGCCACTTGCCTGTCTACCTAGTCKTTCATTGTTCGAAATTTGCTCTGTACACGCCTGCGGAACATGATGATTTTTCCGGGAGACGTACGCAGGATCCACCTTCTATGGATGGTTTTCAGGAGGTCGGCGACATCATCTCCCAACGACGCTACGGCAAGAAGCCAATTGAGTATCTGGTGCATTTTGCTTACTGCACTCATCGAGCTGATCGTTGGTTGACCCGTGCGGAACTGCAAGCGACAGCTCCAGACGTTCTCGCACGCTACGAACGCAAGATGCAAGRCAAGCCGGWTTCTTCGGCTCCACGCCGCGCCCGCGTCCAGGTTCCACCTTCAGACCGACGGCTTCGCCCTCGCCCCGGCTTAACTTCATAAGGAGGGGGGGGTGTTACATGCAGCGCGTGCACACACGGGCCATTTTGCAGGCCCGACGACCATTTTGCAGGCCCGACGGCCATTTTGCAGGCCCGACTGGACTCAGGCCAAAACCCTGGATTTCAGGCCGAAAGCCTGAAATTCAAGGCTTACAGACCCCATTTGGGTTCAGGCCGAAAGCCTGACTTTCAGGGCCTACAGCCCCTGCAACGGTTCAGACTAAAAATGGTAATAGCATTTTTAGCCTTAACTTAAGGGCCATTTTCGGTCGTTCATCAGAACGACCGGTCTTGAAACTCAGGCACCGAACCAGGGTTTTGGGAACAACCTATATTTAGACTGTTCCCACGCCTACCTCAAGCAGGCAGTTGCACGCGAGCCCTTGGCACACTTCGACATTGGCAAGAGCTGCCTCCTCGGCCTGCTCACCCTCCTGCAGTCGGGAGGCAGGCCGAGGAAGTACATAGGACTTCCCAGGCACTTCCGAGGAAGGCAGTTCGGCAGTTGTAGTCTTCACGATTCGGGAGCAGCACGCTGGAGGGAGTACTGCGTTGTAGTAGAGTAGCATTAGCTAGTAGTCTTCAGCGCTGGGCGCAGTAGGTAGCTGTAGCCTTCGGCGCTGGGCGCCATAGCTAGGTAGTGGTAGGGATGATGGGCGGAGGCCAGGGATCACTTACCTGCAGAGCCGTTGCTCCAGCTTCGTCTTCGAGGTCCCTGCAGCACAGCGCCGACATTACAGGTTAGTACCTGGTTCRTAACAGTAAGAGAGAGAGAGTTCTCTTCTTCCTCTTCTCAGTCCCCCATCTTCTTCTTACCCTCTCAACTTCTGACTTYCCTGCAGTTGCAGACTACGAGAGAAGAGATACCGGGCTTGGTGACATATGATCCAGACTCGACTTTTTGGGGGTTCAGACATGGCAACGAGGGACTATTTGGGATTGGTGACCAAGACTTGGTGTTAACGACATTCCCATCTTCTTCCCTCCTTTCGTCTGTTCCTTATCTCTTTGTCTGTGTATGTCTGGACCTGGCGCTTTCTTCCTGTGTGTAGCGCCAGGCTCCTTCACACTTCGTTATGGATACAATGCATGTTTAGTCTGAGTTCAAACATTGATTGGGCTAGTTAGAGGTACTCTAGCATTCTGCTTCGTTACTCTGAACTACGTGAATGAGGTCAGTCCTGTCAGGTCAGTCTTTGTATCAAAGTCTTTAGTAGTGTTCTAGCATTCTGCTTCGCTACTCTGAACTACGTGAATGAGGTCAGTCCTGTCAGGTCAGTCTTTGTATCAAAGTCTTCCCTGCGCTCTTCAGCATCTTTATGTATGAATGAGAATGTACATTGCTTGTCGAGATTCTACTCGTACCGCATTTTCTATTCAGTCCTTTTCATCACATTGCAGATTCTCGGTTTATTACGTACATTGCATATCTGTGCATGTAACACCAATGTAGGAACCACTTTATCTTCGACATTTATCAGGCGGTTTTGGACATGGTGTTTTCAACAAAATACTCCCCTTCGCCAGACTGGTCGTTGCGAATCAGTGGGATATAGAGGCTGGATGCTGCTGAGCATACTAGAACAACACGAAGGGCCTCACCACAGCAGTCACTGTGTCGAAATGGTGAAATATTCGACCACTGTCACCATTTTCGACATTCACCGTTTCTACACAAAGCCTGTCTGCGCCACACCGTATGTCGAACACCCAGAATAAGCGGAGTTTGGTTGTTAGAAAAGGGGGGTGGGAAGAAGAAAAGAAGAAGAAGACAGGGGATGTTGAGCCATAGATGTCAAAATCTGCACATCCTCCACAACCTCGTTTCGGTGATGTTGAAACTTGACCCGCTTTCCAGCAGGTGATGCTCCCCACCAATAGATGGAGCCACCCCCCAGGTGCTAGTGGTGTCTGCTCATAACAGCACCACTATCACAGGTAGGGACGTTTCTTCAAAAAAAAANTATCCTACCTCAGGGTGACCAGCACTCAGGACCATCACCCTACCAGTATCGAGGGCAACTTGGACCAGACAGCAGTGACAAGCACCACCCCCTAACACTAACACCCCCACCCCCCTTTTCAAAGTTTTTGGGTGGGAAGTACCGTCCCTACCCTGCCACTAACACCCCCAGCCCCCTTTTCAGAAGTTTTTGGGTGGGAAGTACCGTCCCTACCCTGCCACTAACACCCCCAGCCCCCTTTTCAAAGTTTTTAGGCGGACGGTTAACGTTTGCGGAAAGCCAGGTACGTTGTTGTCGATGTCTGCTGAAGGCCGTGCTTGCTGAAACCCCAACAACACTAACACACTCACCATAAACCCCCCATCCCCCAACCCCAACTCCTGAAATACCCCGCCCCCCCCAACCCCCAAACGAAACTTCTCTGTTCAAAGTTTTCTTTGCGGATTCGGGGCGATCTCGGTGAGCGCAGTCCAACCATAAAAAAAAAAAAAAAAAAAAAAAAAAAAAAAGACCCGCTGCGGGCGGGCTGTTGGACACCCATGTCGAAACCACCTCTCTGACGATTGTTGAAGTATTTTCGACATTTTTTCTTCGACAGTCTGTGTGGCGAAGAAAAAATGTCAAATAACTCCAGTTTCGACATTGGTGTGGCGAGGCCCTAACGGATGTAGAAAACTCCTCTATTTTCACCACCTTAGGGTGTACTCAAACTGTAATTCCAGATCCGCAAAATATGCAACCCCAGATCCCCAAAATATGCGGATTGAAGAAGGGCAGATTTGAGGTTTTGGGCATGGTTCACACACTGCTGTACCTTTTCAGATGGCACAAGGTGGCGGCCATCTGGAGAATTTGGGATTTGGTACTTGGCTGGTCACACGGCACCATCCACAAATTGTGCAAGAACTTTTGTGAACAAATCCTGCCAATTTTTAAAGAAAAGCGAAAAGTAAATAGGCCATTTGCGGTCACCTCCAGTGGTGACCGCAAATTCCCTTGCCCCGCGGCTACACACACACGCCGCTGACAAATGGGTGCACGAATAGTACATTTAGGAGTTTGGCAAATCTGATTGACCTGCCCTGTACCCTTTTTGGGGGGGAATTTGGGATTAAAGGTCCCAGTGTCAGTATGCCCTCAGTGTTGAGGTGTAGAGTTTTGGCAAATCTGAGTGCCCTGCCCTCTACCCTTTTTGGGGGGGAATTGGGATTATAGGTCCCAGTGTGAGTATGCCCTCAGTGTTGTGGTGTAGAGTTTTGGCAAATCTGAGTGACAGGCCCTCTACCCTTTTTTGGGGGGAATTTGGGATTATAGGTCCCAGTGTGATTATTCCCTCAGTGTTGAGGTGTAGAGTTTCCAACGGCGGCAGGTGGGCAGTTTCTACTCATGTCCAAACCTGTCCTCTGACACTTGCGGGAGCGGTTTGTACAGCCTGGCCCTCTACATTTTGTGGGCATACTCACACAGCGATGGCAAATCCAAAATATGCAGATTTGGGAAAGGCAGATTTGAGGTTTTGGGCATGGTTCGGTTCGCACTGCTGTACCTTTTCAGATGGGACAAGGCTGTGACCGTCTGGAGAAATGGCCATTTGGTACTTGGCTGGTGACACAGCGCCATCCACAAATTGTGCAAGAACTTTTGTGAACGAATTTTCACCAATTTCCGAAGAAAATGCAAAAAAATAAATCGGGCATTTGCGGTCACCTCTGGAGGTGACCGGATTCCCTTGCCCCTGGGCTACCCAGGCTGCTGACAAATGGGCACGCAATAGTACATTTAGGACTTTGGCAAATCCGTGTGATCGGCCCTCTAACCTTTTGGGGGGGGAATTTGGGATTGTACGTCCCAGTGTGAGGGCATACTCACACTGCCACCCCAAATCCCCAAAATATGTGGATTTGGGAATCTCCTATTTCAGGTTTTGTGCATGGTTTGGGTCGAACTGCTGCACCTTTTCGGATGGGACAGGCAGAAAATGGGGATTCGGTACTTGGCTGGTCCCACGGCGCCATCCACAAATTGTGCAAGAACTTTTGGGAACGAATTTTCCATGCTAAAAAATATGCCAGTTTGTCGAAAAACTGGTTTCAACCAACCGGCCGCAGTAAGGCCGGTGTAAGGCCAAGAGTAGGCCTGCACAAGTAGGTTAGGAGTTAGTACCGTTCTGGTAAGCAGCCGAAAGGCAAGAAGGGGTTGTTGATACGAGATTGGTTAGAGTTAGGAGGGAAGACCCTGTTACAAGTGACATGTAGTGGAAGTAGGGAACATCCTGATATAATTTTGACTGATTGTGATTTGGTCTATGGTTCCGGCTGGGCCTTCTCTAGGTAGGTATACAATGTGATTTGTGCAGTTGCCGAGCACTTATGCTAAACCAGCTGATGCTGCCGGGATAACTTCCGGGTTGAATTGTGAGGTCCCCGGCCTCATTCTATTTTCTCCTTTGTAATGAAATGTGCAGATTTAAAAAAAAAAAAAACAACTGGTTTAGACACCGGTTTCGACATTGATGTGGCGAGGCCCTAACTCGCTCTCTGAGACCCAAAGGGAGTGGTGGGGCGAGGCCCTTTGCCAGCGAACAAATTAGAGGAGCCATGCTGTAAACAGCAGTTTCTTTCTGATTTCTCCCAGTTTCTTTCTGATTTCTCCCAGAGTCAACTGGAGTCTTCGGTGACGGTTTTCTGGTCGTGGTCTGGGAGGGAGGCCCACCGCCTACCCTGCCCGCCAACGGGAGAAATGCGAGAAGGAGAAATCTGACCAAAACCAAGGGGCCTAGCTCAGTTGGTACACCCCTAAACTGTTGAAATACAGACCAGAGCACGAAGTCCACTCGAACCAGCTGAGCAAAATACTACGGTTGTGAAGTACCTAGGGCCGGTTAGGTCCATGATCATATCTGAAGGCCGTTGCCCTTTCAAAAAAAAAATGAAAAAATCCGATCAAACGTTCAATTCTTCACAGATGACGATTGTTGGAGCTTGGCAGGCGTGAGTGGTTGTCTGATAGACGACGAGGAACGACTCGGAGGGAGGAGGAAGAAGATAGGAGGGAAACTTCAGCAGGACGAAGCAAAGACGGAGAGACATCGCGTCGGTACCCCTCGACAGATGTGGGAGGCGAGTTGTCATCAAGTGGGCGCTGCGAACAGGTGGCTGCCGTTGGAAGTGAGGGTTGAAATAGAACGACTGGCTGCAATGGGCCACCAGAGGAGTGACAACGAAGGCTGTTGTCCTGATGTCCCTGGAGGCTGTTGTGGTGATGTGCCTGGTGATGGCCATCGTTATGTGAATCTTTTGTCTGGGCGGGGTGTGAACAAGTGCTCCAAGCCGGCAGCGACATGGAAAACGGCAGCCACGTACGCAGTTATAGCCCTGCTCGGCTGCTGCTGCTTTGCCATCGCAGTCTGGATGACGATAATAGGCGGGATGGTGAGGGACGGGGCGTGTTGTCGGGGCTCAGCTACAGTCAGAGTGCCGGACAGGAGAGAAGATAACATTGTGCGGATCGAACCTGCGGGAGAATCCGACTCCCTATATGTGCATCGGCGTCAAGGAAGCAAAGATGAAGACGCGTTAGCAGTGCATGGCACACTGCACATGGCAACGGCGCTGGGGGAGCAGGTACCGCCATCAGGCATCCTGAGTGTGTGGGAAACAGGGCTGATAAAGGCAAACCGCCTTGTGCTTTACCATACACCCCAGCTGGAGACGCTGACCTACATCGAACCGACGGAGGGGAACCACTTGTACTGCATCTGCCTTATTCGGGACTTGGTATTCCCGCCTCTGCGGGACAGCCTGAGTTCCGTCGTCGTGTTCTACTACGTGCTGGATGAACGCTGCTATCCGAGCGAAAACGCAACCGAAGACGAGCGGCTGATGTCCATCAGGAAGGCGAATCTGACTATGAGTTCTGTTGGGGAGTCTCAAGTCACTCTTGACTTAGACGTGATAACTTATTTGTGGCCCCTTGCCCCACGGACGGGACCAAGACAAGCCTCCCCTGTCCTCTGGAAGGGGTACGACATCAGTAGTGTCCCGGTGGATGCGTTTTCCCCTGTCGAACTTTCCCGGCTTGGAACTAATCTCGTCCTTGCATCCCAGAGAACTAGCGGGAGTGGGAGATCGCACGTCACGTTCGTCTCTACGGTCTACGGCAATCGATCTTCAGTGGACATAGAAGCAGACTGGACGGAGGGCTTTGCGTTCAATCCGGACAAGACGAAGCTGTACATGAGCGACTCCGAAGACCCTCCGCGACTATTCTCTTTTTCGTTAAAGGAGGGGGAGATACCGCTTGGAGACCATGCTTGGCGGGACGAGGAGACGATCTTCAGTGGCGGTGTCAATGGGAGTACGAACGTCAGCAGTGTGAAGTTTGGCAGTCGGAGTCTGACAGCAGACGGGAAATGCCTCTACTTTGTCGACTATGTGTCGAACAGAGTGTGGGCAGCCAACCTTGCCTCGAATCCGTTCAATCTCACGCTGGTGGCGGGATCAGGAGAAGCCGGAAGGGTTGATGGAGTGGCATCCCGATCCTCATTTCATGGATTGCGATCTGTGGTGGCGACTTCAGATGGATGCAATCTATTCACCACGGAGATCAGTCCGCCGGGAGCTGTTCGCTGGCTCCAACTCGATGAGCCCTGTGGCAAGGCAAGGGTCGTGGTCACCATAGCGTCATCCTTTAACTTGGGGCTCTGGGGCCTGACCCTCCATGACGATGGGACCAAACTGACACGGTACGTAGGATCGAGCGCGGGACACTTGTTCCAGCTGGAGATCGATCGGTCCCTTCTTTACATCTGCGAATCTGCAGTCACTACCCCCCCCCAAGACTCCTCGTCCGCTCCACTGCTCTCGGCGCCATCTCCCATCCCGTCTAGGAGTGACGCGCCTCCCAGCCTTTCCTCGGCGCCAACTCCTACCCCGTCAAGTGACGCTGCAATCCCTAGGCAGTGGTCATCGTCAGCAGAAGGAGAACCGACAACAACTCCATCCTCCACCTCCCCCGATTCTGAATCAATTCCCGCACCCGGTAGTGAGTCTCGTGGCACTCGGCCGTGGGGTTCGATCGCCAGTCCAACTGACCTCCCCCCCTCTTCCAGCACTGCCCCTCCTCCCCCCCCAGAGTCATCATTGCCTTCAGAAGGAGGACCAATAACACCTTCATCCTCCACCTCCCCTGATTCTGACTCAATTCCCGCACCTGGTAGCACTCAGCCGAGGGGCTCTACCGCAAGTCCAACTGACACCCCCCCGCCTTCCAGCACTGACCTGCCAGACGGCGCCTCGACCCCCAGTCCAAGTAACCACCCTCCCCCCCCCTTCAGCAGTGATGCGCCTACCGGTAGCCACACTCCCCCTTCCGACACGAATACCCTTAGCAGCACTGCCACTGGCAAGGAGTCCTCCCACATTGCCGCTAACCCCGGCAACAGTTTGGCTCTCCCCGTAACGGTTGCCGTGCTGGCTACTGTCCTTGGTGTCCTTGCTGTAGGCAGACTGTACCGAATGTAACAGAGGGCGATAAAGCCGACAAGGGCAAGATGAAGCGTCAACGTGCACTGAATTAGAACGGCCGCTTGACTCGTGTATTGTTTTCCCTTCCTCTCTTTCTCATGTCGTAACTCCTAAATCCTTAGGCTGGGGAGCGGGAGAGGTTGGGTGGGTGTGTGTTCTCTGGTAGTGTACACTTAATTTACAGGAGAGAGACTAACAGGTGAAGGAATGAAAAAGGGAAACGATGCAGGGAAAGATTAAAAAAGAAGAAATAATTATGCAAGCAAAAAATATTGAGGACATCATGAAACGGTTTCCACCTGTTAGCAGTAGCGAATGCCGATCCCAGGACTCGATCCCCAGTTCTCACCTTACCTGTGTACAGTATCTGTGTCGACCCCAGGAGTTGAACCCGTGACCTGTGGATCCGTAACAGTTGGTAGAGTGTCGTAGAGTCTATAGCTTGTAGGGGTTCGATCTGTAGATTTGTCGGGTAGAGGTCTTAGGAGTT